GTTCAGCAACACTTCGGACTCGTGAAGAAATATAAATACTAAATTGTTTTAAGTGCTAGTCCTGCTCTTCCAGAGCTCCTACCAACACACACGGGCTCAACCCCGTTCCCGTACAATGACCTGGCCCAACTGATTCTCATCTTGTACAGTACATGTATATCAATGTCCCATTGTGCCTGGTCTCCAATATGAATTCCAACAGGTACTATTCTACATCAATCAAAGACGAATGTCTAAGCTAATTTATTGGTGCTTGGTGGTCTACAACATCCGAGTAGCCACGCGCACGAATACGCCGGAGCGAATCGTCGGATAGATGCATGGATAAGGACGAGAATCGCATGTCGGGCATGGAGGCTGCACGGAAGTCGATCCGGTCCTGGCGCGTTTTAATTGGCACCTTTTGCATTGCCGTATTGGGGTTTGCAATGCCGTTCAGAACTTCTGTGAGCGAGTCCAGTCCGAGGAACAACCCCACGGACTTGTCGATATCAGGGCCATCGCGCGGGCACTTGTGTGCATTCTCATTAACGAAATGCACGAGGTCTCGTAGGAAGTGCGTAAGCTCCAGCATGCGCGAAGTTCCGTATTTGCTCACATCCAACACGACCATCTGCCGTGGAGGCAGGCGCGACTGCTTGAGCCTCTCAACGAATGGGTGGCAGTCAGGGCAGTCACGGCACTCGAGCAGCAGGGCCTCACGCAAACGCTTGAACTCACGGAAGCGGCGCTCGGTGCAGAATACGTCGCCAGTTTCCTGATGGCATGTCTCGATCTCGTACACGAAGCGATTTCTCTTGAGAGATGTGGCTGTTTCTTTCTCCTCTGGCCGAAAACGAAGCACTTGAACTGCCAGCGGCGTGGACGTTGGTGGTGGTGGCGTCTGGCGGGGTGGCGGCTGCTTCAGATCTACTTTGATCTCCACGAGCGACTGGGAGGTGGCGTCGACCACGCGTCGCTGAAGTAGCTGCACCATCTCAAACGATCGGTCTCGGCCGCGAAGGGTTTAGCTTGTTATCGATGCGTTCTGTCTGAGAATGACCACGACACGACACTGACCTGCACATGCACGTCAAAAAATCAAAAGGTCAACCGAGGATCTTACAAACTCCGATATTTATGATTTTCAACCAATGATAGCGAGCACAATCATATTGTAATGTTTACCAGCCAATCATGATTTCTGAATGGGTCTCTTTCGAATTGGACCGTTTCTGTTATAACATCTCGGTGACAGCGCATCATACCACGTGGGTCGGGAAGCTCAGCAAGTCTGGTTGCAGGCGGCTCCAAGCCCCCACGATGCGAGCATGCTCGTCCGGGTGCGAGCGCTGCAGCGCCGCTGGGTCCTGTTAATGGAGATCAAGCATGGGTTAGTCGTGCCAAGAAAAAAACTGAATGGCAGGAAACGTGAGAAAATGGTGGTGCGAGGCCGGAGTGCCCTGTTTTCGACCAGGTGTATCCTCGTCGGATTCATCGTCTGCTCAGGTAGCAGATACCCCAGTTCACCACCACCAGGTTGATTCAACCGTTTACTGCACTGCATGCAAACGTACCTCGGCAAAACACACGAAGATCGTCGCGACGATGGAGTCCAGGATCGAGGACATGATCGTGCACATGGCGTACCCGATCGACGAGCACGCTACAAAGGTCAGCAGGACGACGTTAAAAGTCTCTGCAGATAGCACGCAGTAGACCCGCATGAGTACGAAATGCCGCCCAAGTTAAACAGACAGCTCTCCAGTCACGTACGGCACTCGTCCGGGTGCTCCGCCAGCTCGTTCGGCGTGCACCGCAGCGTTAGGTACAGCCACGCCGATCCAATGACTCCGGACACCGTTCCTGCCAAAGATACATACCCCGTTAATTGATGATCTCGTTCAGAATGAAACAAGGCGTACCAGCGACCAGGCACCCCACCGACAGGACGCTCGAAATGAGCGAGTCGTTTAGTAATGCCGTCCATCCGCGGTCTCGGAAGAGGTGCATTGTGTCCGTCCCAGCTAGCCGAAAGTCCTTCCCGTACAGAGCCACCTGGCAAAATGCGTACTTGTTGAAGTACTGCATGTTGCGCATAACCAGCTTGACGAGAAACTCCAGGAAAGCGTTGGCGCTGCCCTTGTCTTTTCGCCGCGGGGCAGAGAGCAACAGCGTGTGCAGTGCGCTGAGAGCAGCGACAACCAGCGACCCGATACAAATCGACCCGAGAGACGTCGTCAGCGCTCGAGTCTGCGCCCGCTGGATCGTGTTCACGTCATGTGCGCCAAACCACCACTCACCCACCGCACCGGCAGTAATGCAGTGCACCACATTCTTGGCCACCTGCACAAACCAGAAGAAGCTGCAATTATAGCAAGAATCATGTTAGAGATTTCACTAGAAAAAAAACTCTGTTAGCTCGACAGCAGCAACGACGTACGTACCTTAGCAGCATAAAGAAAAAGCACGTGTTTCCATACGAACTTGAGTCATGAAGGTGGTCCACTGCTTTAGCAAGTACACCCACGACAGCCGCGCCCCAGATCATTACCCAGACTGCCTGCGCTACCAACGCAACGTACGCCGACGTGATAACACCAGGAAACACTCGTAGGATTCGAGAAGCTGCCGTCAGGTTGGATGCTGCGAAGGCGATTGAGCGCCGCACAGACGCGTAGTACGTCACGATCGTGAGGGCGAAGAACAGGTTGATGAAGCCGATGGCCTTGCCAGCCATACCAGAGTCATAAAAGGCTGCGACTGACGCTGCAACAAAAGCCACTATACTGGCCTTCAACGTCCAAGAAATGACGCGCTCTGCGTGGTTCTGCAATACCTGCAGCCACAGTGCAGACACGCCACCACCTATGACCGATGTTTCCAGGAAAATGAGGAAGATCTTAAGTCCGTGCGACGAGTTATCTTCATGATGAACAGTAAAGTAAATGCTTGACACGTTCGGAAGACCAAAGAATAACTGCAAATTGTTTCCAGAACACAAGTGATATCTGATTAGAGAAATTCAGCAAAAATGCTAGACACCAAAGCCAACATACCGCAATAAAGCTCACAGCAGCACAATTAGCAGCGAAGGTCACTGCAAAAAAGTAGTCCTTGCGCTCATCGCGCTGCCCGGCGGGGAGCTGCTGCGGCACCTTCTCCAGCAGCACCTCCTCGTCCGCTCGATCCAGCTCCATGATGGTGAATGCTGAGCAGGAAGAAGAACGAAATATCGTGTTATAAGTGGTCGAAATAGACTTTTCTTTCTACCAATCCCAGAGCGGTAGTTTCATTGAAGTCCGACCATCACTCCTTTTATAGAATACACCGGAATTGAACGAAGATGACGTCGCACTCCACGATGACGACGACGATGGCGGAGAGCGGCGAGTTCCTAACCAACTTAACGCTGGATGGTGTGCGTGAGGGCGCCTACATGCTGTGCAAACACTCCGACGACCTGCTGGGCCATCACGCCCGCCAGGTATTCCGTGAGAAGGCAGCGTCCATGCGTGCCGAGAACAGCATCTACTACTACCTCAAAGATCTCATGAAGAAGTTCGGATCACAGCAGCACGCCGCTAAAATCAAGAAGACGGCGCACAGCGAGCCGCAGCAGCTCGTTTTGGAGGCGCACGAGTTCCGTAAGCTCGTGGCGAGCGACCCCGCCTTCGAGAGTGCCATTCCAAGCGACCAGGTGGACGCGCTGTTCCATCGTCTCGAGTACGACTACCAAAAGCTGCTGCTACATCGAGATTTTGTGGGATTTTGTCTGCTAGATCAGGACCAGCTGTACGTCTGCACCCACTACTGCATCTTAGAGATAGCCCTTGACTGACCCCCCCCCCCTTTGCTGCATGTATCTAGACGATTACTGTTGTACAAGTATCGGAAACATCTTAAAAGTCTTGATTTAACTGATAATGAGATCGCAGATACTTTCAAGCGATTGGCACCACCCGACGGTACGGCAATGGTACCAGAGCTGTTTCACGCCGCTATCATGCGCGACTTGGATGTCGTGCTCACGACAGGAGTACGTTGCAATTTTAATCTTTAGGAAACTCACACATTAAAAACAAATACTTATTCAACAGGAACTTGCTTTCGTCATGGGCCTCATGGATTCGGATAAGGATGGGCTGGTGAAAATCCATGACTTGGAACTTCTTCTTAAAGACGAAAGAGGGGCGGAGGAGCTGGTCCACCCTCCTCGCGAGAATGGCGTCGTTGACATGAGAATTTCAACAAATAGCGTCGAAGAGGTCACGCTACGCAGAGATAACTACACCCAACTGTTTCCGAAACTGCAGAGTGAAAGCAGCTCCAGTCCCATGCATCTTTGGTTCCGGACTGCGGCTAAGGAAGACGGGAAGGCTGCTATCTCTAATATAAAGTACGCAGCAAGTTCGCGTGACACTGAGCTGGTATCGAAGGGATACACATGTTTGCAGCAAGATATCAACAGGAATGGAGCCTTCGGGAAGCACAAGTACATTTGGATGAGTCTTGTACCTCCCAGCACACAAATGACTAACGAGGTGATCGATCTCGCACTTACAAGTGGAGATCTAAGTGACAAAAACGCTGCAAGATTATGGATACCCCGCCATCGCGGCTTCAAGCTCGTCCCAGGGAATTTGAATGAGAAGAATCCGAAGCTAGGCGTGTTCCTGTGGCTGCGGCGACGGCGTGCGTTATCTACCCAAGACCTGGTCGAACCTCCTCATATAGATCTCACGATTACTTCACCGCGAACACGAGCAAATCTGCATAGTCACATCGACGACTTGGAAACTCAAGTTCGAAAAACACTTCGACGCAACTGTCCAATTGACCAAGACTGTTCTCTCAACTTCAATCGTTTATTCGACGAGTTTGACCCCAAGAAGGTGCGGGCCATTACCAAGCAAGCGGTGCTGGCTGGCATTGAGACGTTCGGCATTAAAATGGACAAAAAGGTGGGCGTATATGCAATACTGGCTTAAGATATTAGCATATCGTTGCCAACTGATCACGTAACTTTCGATTTCATGGCAGGACTTTCGGCTGGTTTGGGAGCGAATCAATGCATTCGGCGCTAAGGTTATTCAAGTTGGCGCATTCGCTCAATTCTTAGAGCTCACGGATTTCGAAATGTTAGCATAAATACACGACAAAGGTGCAGATGCTGTAGATAAAGTTCTGACCAAAGCTATTCTGTATTATTTTGTAGTGACGATGTAGTGAACTCACTGCAGCGTACGATGACGACTCGCTTTGGCTACAACGTACCCAACTACAGGCTGATTTTTCAGTCGTACAACACGCTTGGGGACGGAAAACTGAGTCGACCCGATTTTCAGCGAATATTTGCAACAAACCAGCTGAGTTTCACAAACAATGAACTTAGCAAAGTGATCCAGCGATTCGATGTCAACAAAGATGGGGTTGTCGACTACTCCGACTTCCTGAGTTACATCACTGGGATATGCGATGCGTCTGCCAGAGCTGCAGGGCGAATCGCTGAAGCAGCTGATGAACTCCGAGTTTGGGCGCTCGAAAAGCAGAACAAGAAGCTCGCTAAAGACGGCAATATTGACTCAGCATCTGCGTGGCGCTTACTGAAACCAAAGCATAGTCGACTTGACTCCGAAACCATCAACCGAATTCTCCGCCAGCGAAGAAAACGCTTGAACGCGGAACAAATTCACTTGCTGCAAGTATTGATGGCCCCAGCAACCAACGGCGAGGTAAATCAGGCAGCATTCCATGCGTTTGTCAACCACGTGCCCAAGAAAATGTACGCTACTGTGCTTTCACTCTGACTGCTAAGATGTGATTCTAACAGCAACTATTGCCGTGCTGCTTTGCTGCAGCTCTTCAATGGTTTATGAACTGAGGAAGTTGGTCGGATCTGGACCTGTCGAATCTGACGTCGACGAGATTTACAACCGTCTAAACATTGAGGCGAATGGAAAGCTGTCTCTAGTCAATTTCTCGCAGCAGCTGAATGCGTTGGCGGTGGAAAAGTCAACGCGGCAGGTTGATTTGAAGGACTTGGTTTACGTGGTGCAGTACACTGGAGCGAATTGCGGCGGTGACGGTGCGGTGCTGATTGACCGGTTTTTGGCTGTCATTCGAGAAAACCAGGATCGTCGAAACATGAAGAGCGAGTTTGTCACTCACTACGACAGTCCCCAGTTTCTTGAGGGCGTCAAACTGCTTCGTGGCGAACTGAAACGATGTGCCAAAACCCCAGATGGCAAGTTTGATTACATGGTGCCATTCCGGCTTTTTGACAAGGACAATACCGGACAAATCGTCTTGTCCGAGTTTGAAGTGGCCATCCGAGAGCTTGGTGTAGATAGGTACCTGACCGACCAAGAGATTAAGGGACTGATGCGGCGATTTGACCCCAATTCGTCTGGCGCAATTGACTTCAACGAGTTCCTGCGTTTTAATCTCGCGGAGTCGTCTTCCTCCTCTAGCAGAAGACTGAACATTACCACTCTGCCGGATCCGATCTTGCAACGTATTCTACAAGACATCATTATCAGTGAACAACTTACAAGCGGAAATGTCGGGGCGTACTGTGGCTCAATCAAGAGAATGTTTGGCATTATCGATAAAGAAACTACTGGTCTGGTTCCCGCAAGCCGCTTTGTAGAGACGCTCAAAGAAATGAGTGTTGCTGTGCCGAAGGAGGATATGGACATCTTAGTGAAAGAGTTTGCGAATGATGATGACGCTGGTGGGGACGTCCACTACTTGCGTTTTTGTGAAGCGATAGCTCAAAAATGCCAGCAAAATGGAGAGACGCAGCCATTCCTGGAGTCACCGCCGTCGGAGATTCTCAGTCTGCTAAAGACGTTACATCAGCAATACCATAAAGCTAAGCAAAAGCTGGAAGCCAGTGGTCACGAGTTCGACATTGACCGAGCGTTTCGCGTCCAGAAAGACTCAACAAAGTGCATTTTGATGTCGATTGACGACTTCAAAGACGTGTTATGGGCGGCGGGCGTTCATCATCCCTACTTGCGCGAAGAGCTGGAAGCCATGATGAACTGCTTTCAGCTACACCAGAATTCTGGATTTAATGTCTCGCTCTTCCGCAAGTTTTTGTCAAATGGCCCGAGTGCCTTCTTCGCGGGCGATTCCGGCGTTCTTGACAACCATGTTGAACGACTTCTAGGGGAACTCCAGGCGTTTCTGTCTACGGGAAAAGATGCTGGTGAGCGACTATTTGGACTCTTTTCAGAGTTGGACGCAGACGTAAGCGGGTTTCTTTCGCACGAAGAATTTCTGCAGCTGCTCCAACGAGCCGGTTTCCGGCACTTTCTTAGTTCAGAAGATGAAAAGCTACTGCTCCAGTTTCTAGATACAAATGGTGACGGCGCAATATCCTACACGGAGTTTGTTACTTTCGCCAAGCACGCCGATGAGATGCCTAAACCACTAGTCGAAAAGCAGACTAGTATCTCGCCGCTCCCGTCCTCCACAAAGACGGTTATAGCCGACGAGTCCTCTGGGTCTCAAACACTGACTCCCGCTACGCAGACGTCAGAATCAGCACTAAAAGAGTCATCCTCCAGTTTGCCGGTATCCAGTCAATCAAAGCCCGATAACCGACCGCACGTTCCAATCCTGAACCAAATAGGTAAGCTGAACAAACATTTGCGCCCACCATTCCCGTTTGCCAAATATTTCAGCAAGTACCGGGTGAATCAAAACGAAGCGCGAGTGACAGTTCGAGTCTTCGAAAAGATTATTGACAAATTTTTGGATCGTCTCGTGATCCAGCGCGTGGTATACAACATGAAAGACATGGACACCGAGTTATTAGTGCAGGGTTACGCTGTGGCAAGTGACGATGGGACTAAGATCAACTACGAAGTGTTCCTTGGAGATATAACAAAAGCACAAGAAAGGGCCGCGGCAGAGTGTGCTGACAGGTACTCGAATAGCAGTGACAGTGACGAATTGTCTTGCAGCAGTGACGAAGAAGATCGAGTCACAATGAAGCTTTCAAAGGCCGTCGGGGCAGCATTACTCCAAGCAATTAAACATGCGCACAAAACCCCGGCCGAACTTGACGCTCTGAAGTCACTGTTGAGCACGTTGAGTAAAGATTTGACAGCGAAGAAGCAAGAAGCTATCAGCGAAACAAAGATCTACAAGGTCCTGATGGCCCTCTCTCTTCGGATGCGCAATAAAGACGTAGCCAAGCTGCTCGCATGCTTCAAGACAGAGCATTATGGCAGGGCTCTATACGAAACCAGGCCGTTTCTTGCAGCTATCGAAGAGCAGATCAATGCTGCCATTGGCCCACCGAAGGAGAAACCCGCACCTGCTGACCCTGTGGTTTCTTCCCCTGTAGAAGTCAAACCGATTGCTTCAACCACTCCTCCAACGCTAGAACCTACTTTGGCGAAAAAGATCTACCGATGTTTTCTTGCAGCAGCTCAACACAACATCAGCGGTCGAAGATTACTAGAAAAATGTGATGTTGCGAAAACCGGGAAACTCACGTTACTGGAATTTCAGACGGTACTTCGCCTAATGGGGTGTAAGCTGACAGACACTGAGCTTGAGGCAGTGAAAGCTGCCCTTGGGGACTCAAAGTCTGCTCAGATCAACTATAATCTATTAGTCCAACAAATGGGTCCAGATCGCCAGCATAGACCACGGAAGGTGCGAGCTAGAAGCACTGAGATACTCCACTTCGATCACGTACCGGAAAACACAGACACGCTGCATCTCACTCCCCAATTGCCAAGCCCACGAGCTGTCACTCATTCTTACGGTCTGGAACCTGCATATCCAGACGTCGAAAAGGGAGCTACGCGCACTCCTCTCTCTTTTGAAGAAGCGAAGCGTATTGACATTTTCGTGGGACAATTCTTTTCGGAGCTTTTCAACATGCGGCAGATCGACTCCGTGACTCTGCAGCAGAAATTCGAGCCCTACGATATTAAGTGCACGGGATTCGTTTCCATTGATGCATTCAGCTCAGTGATGAGGAAGCTCGACATCTTTTTGCCGCCCGATGTGGCTTCGACTATCATTTCTCGATTTTCCGCAGTGTCTGGTGGAAAATTTGATTACGTTGATTTTTGCCAGATTGTTGCTACTTCTCTTCGACCGAGGTCACCGCCAGCACAAGTACATCCCATTTCTCAGGTTATCAATGAGATGCCGCCACTTTCCGGCTCAGCAGCTGAGCGCCCTGACCAACATTTCAGCCGGAGCGATCCCGGTGGTCGGGTAGCAATCGACACGGCAAGTTTCCGAGCAAGACCTAACTACTCGAAAGTGCGTACCAACTCTGTCAGTTAGTTAGCCTTTGTTTTATCTAACGTTAGTTTGCACTATCAGCTGCTCAAACTGAATCTACCAGTGATAGAAACCAACTTCAATCCAATGCCACCAGGACCACAGCAGCAGCGTATTCCATCCAAACGTAGTGAAGGCGAGGCAAGCGGCTGGAAATGTCCTGTGTGTTTCCACCAGCAGACAAGAGTGACGTCGACTTGCGAGATTTGTGCAGCGCAGAATCCGGCTTCGGTCGAATTTCAGAGTTTGCGTCAATGCTCTGCGTGCGGATTCCGAAACAAACTCGATGCACGGACGTGCGAATTGTGCACCGTAGTGCTGCGGAGGTCACAACCTCCTCCTAACAATGGGGTGTCCTTCTCTCCAACCAAACGATATTATGCGCCATCTTCAGCCACTGCTCCGTGTGATGGCTGGCTTACGTAAAAAAAAACTCGGATGTTTGATTTTAAAATAAACTTTATGCAACTTTATGATAATTCTTGTATTTGTTTGTGGCAAAGTCAAAATCGCATTGTGGTGAAATGACGCGAAACTTTTTCTTCTTCTGAACGATGGAATTGTACCGTGTACGCTGGACCCACCAGATCTCGTAGTCCCCCATGCAAATTGTTCGCGTCCGGTCATCTTGGAAGAGCAGTGGCAACGTCGTGGTGCGAAATCCGTTCGGGTACTGCCTCATCAGCCGCGTCTGACTTAATATTTTTTCGCTCCCCGGTTCGTGCAACTCTAGAAACGTACCGCAGTGGTTTGAGAGCTCGAAGGCCCCACCACACTGGACGATGTAGCTGGTTTGCATGAATCCTACAGCCACGCAAGTATCCTGTTTACGGCCATCCACACTGTAGCAGGACGCAAGAGCGTTGATCGAATCATTGTAGTCCCAGCAGGCGGGCCGCACTACTTCTTCCATTGGTATCAAAGCACGCAGTCGTCCGATACATCCCGAGTTAGTGTAGTTCTTCGTGACCGTCAGTCCACTGCGGGTCAATGTCTTTTGAAGACGGTATGGAACTAGATTATCGTCGAGGTAGCAATTCTGGTCGAAGATCGAAGGGCGATCGCCAATTCTATTGACTGACACATCCAGTGTTGCCCCGGACTCGTCCACAAGAGATACTTTTTCAGCAATGGTAGCAGAAGAATCCACGTACGCCGGTTCCCCAAAACGGTCGATGCAGCAGTCGACAGGATGATTCCGACAAGGATCCAACAACAACCCAATAACATATTCGGTTGGCTCGACGAAGCTGGAACAGGACAACATTGAAGCTTGTAAGAGAGATAGACGTATTAAGTCACGAGGGAATCCAATATCACCTGTAGATGTCCGTGTTGATGGTTGCGTTTGGATCCCGAGTGTGGATTCTTACTTTTAATTCCTTCTGCTCCCCCACATATGCGCGTTCTTCAAGTTCGTCTCCCTTGTCGGGCGCTGCGATCACTTGCATCGCAGAGTCCGACTTCAGTGCTTCTACGTCCGAAATGCAGCTCCTAGCCACAACAAGAGCTACGATCAACACAGCGGCACGAATCATCCCAGGAATCGCCGCCCTCTTTGCTTTCGGTCCCTCAGAAGATCTGAAAATGACCTGCGACGATTCGTCGTGGTGCCTTTCTAGCGTCAAATCTCACAATAGTCGAATGCCGAATGGCGCATGACGGCGCATGGCGGGCCAAAAAGCAACCGCTGCCGCTCCCGTTAGCTCCCGTACCTCCTGTAGCTCATCGCATCTCCAGTAATCACAAAGATGCCGCCCGATCGAATCTCATCAGCAGCAAATACAGAAGTAGCAGCGCCAAGGCCCACGAAAGGAATTTGGCCAAGTTACAACGGGATCTTCCGAAAGAAATCGTATTCTTCGACCCTCGTCGACGGGTGTATCATTCTCACGTCAACCTCAGTGGCTGGCGTGCCACCGATACCTCACTCCAGCAACTCCAGCTCAACGATTCTAAAGACAACCCAATCAAATCGTCTTTTCATACTCTCACGGTGGACGGCAGTGCTCATATCTCGGTTCGGGGGCTTCTTTTGTTGCTGGAAGCTACGGCAGCAGGCGGCGGAGCGCTTCGTGCTCTTCGACTGTCCCAATGCCAGTTGCTCTCTCGTGGAGGTGGTGAAGCACTTGATGGAGGCCATTTGCCACATATATTGACGGAATTGGATGTTTCTTCCTGTGAGTGGGTGGACGACAAGTTTCTTCGCACCGTGGCGCGTTGCTGTTCTCTTCTCTCACATGTGACTATCGCTCACTGCCGTCGTGTCACGGACTACGGCGTCGCAGCCTTCGGCGAAAGCTACGCGGCTTCTCTAACCTCTTTGGATGTGAGTTTTTGTACAAAGCTCACGGACACTGCGTTGCTTGCTCTATTAGTGGGCTCCTCATCGCAGACAGCAGGGCCAGGAGGAGCTCCGACGGTCGCATCATCATCTTCAGCTCGTATCCGTATACTAAACATTGCCGGACTGCCACTAGTTGATGGGCTCACGTTGCTTGGCTTGCGTGGTCCCTGTGCTTCTCGTCTTGAAAGTCTGAATATGTCTGGCTGCACAGTACTGCGAGTAGCAGCTCTGCAGCGACTGGCGCGAGTACGAGCACTAGTACGCCTTAAGAAACTTGACCTCTCACGCTGCTCGCTCGTGAACGACCACGTTCTGACTGCATTGGGCGCAGCATGTCCGCAACTCGCAACCCTCCTACTCGCTTTCTGCTCAAGTATCACCGATTTCGGCATTCGACGACTTGTAGGAGAGACGACGGTAGTTGAGTCTACCGTTGATGACCAAGAAGGTTTTGATGAAGAAGACACTGGTAGAACTATTGAGAGGAATGGTGAGTGTGGCTGTCGACAACTGGAATCTTTGGATATTACAGGCTGTTTCCAGGTCACGAGTCGAGGAATTTCAGCTCTTGGGGCGCGATGTCCACAGCTGCGATCGATGACACTCGACGGTGTTCGAAGACTGATTTTTTCGGGGATACGAGCTTTACTTCACGGATGCCGGAAGTTGCGTACTCTGCGGTGGAGCGGCATTCTCGTGCGGAATAGTCAAGATGAAGCTGCCGTTCCTGGTGCTTGTGCTGCCTTTTTTTCAGTTCCTCAGCTAACTGACTCCACGGTTGCCGCCTTGACCAGCAGCGCATTGAAGACTCTGCACATTGGCACCACACAGTGCGATACCGATGCTCTAGCTTCCAATCTGCTAGAAAGTACTAGAAATTCGACATCGCTGGTGAAGTCGCTAACCGATCTGGACGTGACGTCTCTAGCTACAGACACGCTTTGCGAGGCACTGGGTAGTTGTTGCGTCAACTTGCGCGTACTTCGTCTCAGTCGGTCGCGATACTTCTCGGCCACAAGTTTTTTAGCGGTGCTACGAGGCTGCCCCAGCCTTCGCGTACTGGAGCTTGAGAGCTGCGAACAGATTTGTGACGAATCATTGATAGCAATTAGCAAGGCGCCGTGCTCTCCACACCTAGAGACGCTCGTCCTGGCGAACGACTGGCAGCTTACCGACACTGGACTAGCGTCATTATTGCGTCCGGCAACCAGCCTGTTCCGCTTAGATGTGCGTCACTGCCCCGAGATTTCATTACCAGTGCTGCAAGCCTTGGCAGCTGCACGGGGACACATCAGCGAAGCTACACGCGACGGATTAACACCTCGCCATCCTAATGTCGTCGCATTTTTGCGTCGTGAACGCAAACGCCGAGTAGCTGCACGAAAAATCACTCGTTGGCTGCGCTGTGAGATGGACGCCCGGGTGAGCGCAAAGTCCACCCTGGAGCGTACACTTGCGTATTTTCGACGACAGAAGATCACAGCAGCTCGAATTCAGCGTTGGTATCGCCGCAAGGCAGACCAAAGGATGCAGCGTCGGCTGGTTGCTGAAGCTCGACGACTTCGAGTCGAGCAGTGCAAACTGTACTGGACGTGGGTGACAGCGCTTTGTGTGTTGAGTCGTCGGCTGCGAATATTCGTTCGGATGTTTGTTGCTGCTCGTCAGCGTGCAGCGTTTGAGAAGGCCGAACTTCTTCGCATGCTACGGGATAAATCTGCGACCGAGATCCAGCGAATAGTTCGGGGCTGGCTGGGACGGCGCAGAGCAGTTGAAGCTCGCCATGCTCGGGAGCTTTGGATAGAGCGACGGGCAGCAGCCGCGACGAATGTTCAGCGCGTCTTTCGTGGACATCAATCTCGGAAAAGCACGACACAAAAGCGTCGAGAATGCGTTGCCGAGATGCAAAATACCATGAAACTGCGTGGCGCGATTTTCGTGGCTGGACTGCACATTCAACGCATAGTACGTGGATATTTGGGGCGACAGTACGCCAAACGTTGCGCAGTGGCTGCGTATGAGTTGCTTCATCTGAAAATCGCTCGAGCAAAGCACATTCAAAGAGCTTACAGAGCTCACATCGCGCGGGTGGCGCTTCGAAGGTTAATTTTTGGTGGAGCCACCGCACTGCAGAAAGTTTTTCGTGGATTTCGCGGGCGGCGTGAAGCTCGTGCCATTGTACTTGGACGAGGCTACACATCTCACCCACGGATTCTCATTTTGATGCAGTATTCCATCTACACGCGCGAGCTTGCGGTGGCTTGGAAGTGCAAACGAGATGCAGGCATGACTATCGCTCTCTCTTTGCAGCGGATGTATCGAGGGTTTTGTGGACGACGTGATGTACGCTTAATTATGGCACGTAAGAGACAGCGCTGGTATCTGGAAGACACTGGAGCTCGAACGATTCAACATTTCTTCCGCAGCATCATGTTCGTACACTTTCTTAGTAAAGGGATACCACTAAGACTCACTAGAACCGCTTTGTGCCTTGTTATACGTAGAATTCTTGTGCGGCTTGCAAGGTTTGAAGCCCTCTTGTGTCTTCGACGACGCAGTGCAACGAAGATCCAAGCAACGTGGAGGATGTGGCTGGCCAAGGCATTGACAACAGCTCGAAGACTTCGAAACGATCGCCACCGGCAGCACACAGCAATATTGGACGCGATCGCCTCTCCACAGCAAGATCGTCGGCTTTTTCTCCATCGTGGTGCTGTGCACTCGATTGTGTCGCTCTACCGCGCGGCTTTGCTTGCACGTGGCTGGCTACCACCAACGTACATCGCGATACTGCACCGCTCGGCAACCAAGATTCAGGCACTAGTGCGTGGTCATTTCGGCCGCGTGTACACGACATGGCTTCGACATGAACTCACACGGGCGGTTAGCATCGTCCAGCGTGTACGGCGAGGCAAGTTGGGGAAGAAAATGTGGCGCTCGCTGATGGGGGAGCGTCAGCAGCTTCGTCGAGCTCAGGAAGAAGGCGATCGAGCTGCATCGATAGCACAAAAGCAGACAGCGCACCATGCACTAGAAGCTTTCGAGCGTGAGACGCAACACGCCGTTGTGCTCCAGCGTTGGTTCCGGACACTGAAGAGCCGACAGGTGTTCCGTGAAGCTCGTGAGCATCGAGATCGACAAGCGCGTACTCGTGCTGAGAACAAGGTGGACGCGATGCTTCGTAACGCAACGGAAAGCGTTGTATTTCAGGCTCGCGTCTGGCGCGACTGTGTGGATCGTAAAACTGAGCTGGTGGCACTGGAAGAAGATCAATGTGTTGCAATGGAGAAGGAGATTGAGCAGTTGAAAGAAGCGTGTATTGACGCGCACGCGGGCTCGACTCATGCGTCTCGAGAATTTGTTGAGCTGTCGAAACGCAAGCACGAGTTCGAACGGTCTTGGGCGCGGAGAAAGAAGTGCACCAAAACAGTCAAGCAATGCATCCAACCGTTTGCCGTACGGGCTAAGCAGCTCACGATGGAGAGTGCGCAAGAGTTGAATGCCAATCGGCAGCTTCAAAAGGAGATAAGACGCATCCGAACTGAGCTGCGGAAGCTCCATGCAAATTTGCGAGCTCGATTACCACTGGAGCCTTTATTACTGAGTCGGGACGTCGAGTCACTGTTGGCCGGACTGACTGGTGAGGGTTCGTCCGACAACGAAGGTGCTAATCTGTCGAAGACAGCGTCATGATCCTGCTATTGGTCCTTATCATTCTTGTGTACCAGTGACTGAGGTTGGCTTCGTTCAGAGCTTACTCTGCTCCTCGTACATTTCATCGATGACGTCACTGAAATACTTGATCAGTTCGAAGCGCTTGGGCTTGAAGGTGGGCGTGGCTACGCCGTTTTCCAGAGTGAGCTGTTCTGCGTGAAGCCTCAACTTGTGCGCGCGTTCGAACGGAAGCAGCTTTGCAGCCAGAGCCAACTGTCGTAAGTCTTCCTGGATGACACGAAGAGGAGACTTGTTTACAGGGTCACACAACTTATACAGCGAAGTCTCCTCTCCCTCCAGGCGTTGCATTTCAGCCCAGGCCGAAGCATACTCAGGGTCAGGAACGACGATCCCCACCACGTAATTCTCGAATGAATCACTAGGCACGAACACTTAAGCAACAAAAGGGTTCAGATTGTACACCCCCTCGACGACACGTACTCGCCCTGCGCAAGCTTGTAGATGTGTTTCTTGCGGTCAATGTCCGTCAGCGTACCATCGGGGCTCCACTAGTCAATGTCACCCGTGTGGAACCAGCCGTCTGCATCCAGAACTTCGCTCGTCAGCTCTGGCTGCTTGTCGTAACCTTTGAAGACGTGTCCAGACCTGGTCAGGATTTCACCTCGAGGACATGGCGTATCTCGAGTCGAGTAATGCTTTTCCGGAACGTCTTCTAGGCAGATCTCAGCGCCAACAACGGGGACACGCACATGTCGAGTCATTGGCATCTCAGCCATCGCACAGGACACCACCGCCGCCGTTCCCGGAAGTCCGTACCCTTTTCCAGCACAGGGCAACTGAACACGATGGCCATGAACTCCTTAGACCTTCTTAGACAACGGCGCCGAGCCGCTCAGTATGTAGCCCAGAATCATCGTGAGCTTGTCAAACACCAGAATACGTGCGTGTAGTAGCCCTCTGCTAGGTACTCCTTCTTAGCTGGGTATGCCTGGTCAAACAAGAGCTTCTTCAATCCACCTGCAGCTACTACGCCCTGTGTAATCTTGTCATGAACTCTATTTAGCAACCGTGGCACGGACGGGAACACCGTCGGTCTCAGCTCGGCCATGTCGTCGAGCAGTTTAGGCACCTCCCCTTGGTAGTAGCCGATGCATCCTTCTTTGGCAATGATGTGAGCTTGCACATTGCGCTCGAAACAATGTACAAATGGTAAAAAGGAAAGAATGTACATCTGACTCATCCAATGGAGTGATTTCGACAGAGCACAAAATGGAGGCGATCATGTTAGAGTGCGTCAGCATCACACCCTTGGGTCCCAAGGCTTGGGGTCACCCGTCATTCCCGACGTATAGCAGATGGAACAGAGGTCGTCAGGCAGTGGTGGATCGGCTTCCACAAGGATGGCGCAACCGATTTCCATAAGCTGACTCAGCGTCATGAGCGACACGTTGTTGGATCTGGCCAGACTCACGTCTTCGCCGTCGTTTTGTCTTCAAATTGTACGAGAGTCTCGACACTAGAGCAGCAATTTATGCAGTTCTCGATCTGCTCTTTGGTGCAGAAAACTACTTGATGCACGCCATCGGCATCATGACTAATTTCGAAGCACGACTAATTAGAGTACATATCTCAGCAAATGGTCCTCAGCAATAAAACCTACTTTTAAGTTAGCAGATTCTGCTAGCTTGAAAGTAGGTTTTCGCTGCTGCAGATGTATTGTACATGTACCTTTCTCAAACTTTTCGGCAGAAAGGTACAATACGTAGGACTTGTGGCTGCCAAAAATTATATTTTACCGTCGTTTTATCAAATCTTAGGTATTGCTTTACCCTCTCTTTCTTAGGACCAGCCTTTTAAGGTCCGATTGGCCAAACCTCGAGAAAGGCACAATAAGTCCTCGGATCTTTCGTAGGGGCCGCTGTAAACAATTGTAACTGGCTATGTTTCTACCGTCACTAGCGTACACGTAGCGGTGAGGAATCTCACAAGCAAAATAGCCTTATTAATAACTCTTATAAAATTGACTCTGATTAATTTAGGAATAGAGCGGGAGCCCTAGACCTCTGAGAACCACTCATATGCAGGTCGACTCCTGACTGGCTAAAACGTTTTCCTTTTTAGCCAAGCTATAGTGCGACAATGCTAATCGCGTGCCTTTTCTACCTACTTTTGTAAAAGGACCTACCTACTTATGTAATTGGAGAGCACATTACATCACCCCGGCATCAGGTCTTACGAGCATCATCTCAGCAACCTCCCCAGTGGCCAGGAAAGACTCGGCCGTCATTTCCTCGAGGTTCAGTATCTCTGCAACTTCGGGCAATGGTTCCAGGTGGACACGACGGGTAAATCGGTCTCGCCATCGAAGATGTGATAACACGGCCGTGTCGGAGGAGCCCGGGCCCTGGACTCCGAGTCGCTTGAAACGACGTCGATCTGAACGAGGTTCAGATCCGACTCTCGGCGGCGGCGTCGTCGTCGATGGTGACCGTAATGTGAAACTTCGTTATCCACGTCTGGGAATGTCTTGGTGTCGACATCCGAGGCACTCGAGGCCTCGTATGATACTATGTTACCCACGCAGAAAGCGCACCTCGCGTCTTCCTCTTCAGTTATGGTCTGAGCGACCTCGTGTGGTACTATGTTACCCACGCAGAAAGCGCATCCCGCATCTTCCTCTTCAGTTATGGTCTGGGCGACCACGTGTGGTACTGTGTTACCCATACAGGAAGCGTACCCGACGTCTTCCTCTTCAGTTAAGGTCTGGTCGACCGTGTGTGGAGCTCGGTTACTCACCTTGTACCCGCTATTTACAGTGTTCGTGACAGCTTCAGTAGTCTGTGAAACTATGTTACCCGCTTGTGGACCTAAGTTACCCTCTTGGGCAACGCCTCCTAGCGCCGCCATCATCGAAGCGTCCTTGGAGTCGTCATATACGTCGACGACTCCCAAGCAGCTGCTGGATACTTCGGTACCCTGGCAGCCCTTGCGGGCGCCCCGGGTCCTGACAGAGGTGGGACCATGACTCATCAATGCTCTGCTGGACTTCGCAAGGCGGCTGGCACCGATTGCCTTGCCTCGCCAGTCGATCCAGGGCTCCTGATTCTCGAGCCAAAGCATGCCCAGGATCATATCGTAGGCATCCATGTCGAGAGCAGTAAACTGTTCTGGGCTGTCGAAGTCTTCAAACTTGACGACCAGATCCACTTGGACGTTGGGGACAGTGACGACTTTCCCGTCGACCAGTCGCACTGACACCGTCCCGTTGTCCTTGCTTTCTCTCAAAGCATCGAACAACTTGTTGCTTTTACGATCAACTGTCTGGCGGCGTGCGAAATTCTTCGACGCCCCAGAATCGATCAAGATTCTAAAGGGATGATTGTATCCCCGTACACATCCGTGTACTACGACCAACCCGCCGCTGCTCTTCGCCGATTCGTGAGTGCGAAGACTCTCAGCGGCTTATTCTTGTGGTACACGCCACCCGCGCACCCCTCACGAAGACTTAGTTCTCCCCCTGTAGGGCGCCGCGCCCCTACTGGTCTCCGGTGTTCCCCTGTCCCCGGAATCCTGGCTTCTGTCAGCGACCCTTGAGGACGGGCTTGGGGAAAGTCCGCCTGCGGTGTCTCTCTGCGGGATATTCAGGCTTGAAGTGTCTAAGCTTCCTCCAGCCGAAGCAGCGAATGTCGCGCTGCTCGGCGGACCGGAGTTCCATGGGAACTGGTCCGGTGGGGTTTGCTCGACCGTGATTCGACACAGAATTCCTTGGCCACGTTGAGGCCGGCGTGCGCGCCTGACGATGGATGTACACTTCTTGAGCAGACACTTGATTCGCCTCTTAGAGGGTGCTTGACTGCACCCAGAACAGCTGAGTGCGCGCCGGGCCTACTCGAAGGCCGTCCATGAGCACAGTCACCTTGATGTGCTCGCTGAGTGGGCTGTCCACTAGGGACGCCGTGAGCTCTCGTACCTCTTGGACGTACTCGTGCAGCTCGCGCCTTCCTTGCTTGCACGAGAGGAAGCGCAAACGCTGCCGTCACTCGTAGTTCGCCGGGAGAAACGCGGCTCGGAGCTGTTCGCACAGCTGAGCCCAGGATGTGAAACATCTAGGCGATGTCGCCTCCCGCGTGTACACCCAACTCGTAGCACGACCGCTAAGGTTGGAGAGCACAAAAGCAACACGGCGTTGCTCGGTCGAGATCGGAGCCACGTTCATCGCGAGCCCTACCTCTCGAGCCCAGAAGTGAAGGTTCTCACCCTCCTTCCCTTCATACGGCTTAATATTCAGCCGGTTTGGCTTCGGGTGTGGCGGATTTGTTTCCGCCACCGGACCCGGCAGGTTTTCCTGCATACGTGCGATGGGCCCTTGCTCGTAAGCGTCAAACGCATTGACACGCCCGAGCTGTTCGGCCGGTGTCGACGCCACCAGGCTCTGCAGGGCCTCCATCCCGAAGATGCCAGCCATCTTCCGAACCGACTCGAACTGTGAGTCGTTCAGATGAGAGAAGTCGTTCCAATCCATGACCACGAACTTCAGAGAGGTTCAGGTGGTCTACCCGCGTTGGCGTGGATTGACTACAAGTGCTATCAGGTGTGACGGGGTCACACGGCACCTAGCGCTAGAGGTTGGCTTACGAGAGTTTACAAACTCTCAGTGAGCAGTAGTTCACAGGTCCCTTTTGTCGAGCGGTGGTTTCGGGTAATATACATCACCATCGCCTCGAGGTTGATCGAGGTCATCTCGGCAAAGGTCATTTTCCTCCTCTCCCGGCTATCCGGGAAAGCCAAAGAGTGGGCCCTCGGCAAATTTGTCGTAGAAGCGCAAGTGTTCCCCACTCTGTCCAGAGTGACCTACGTCTGGCCTTCGAGCCCCCGGCACGATAAATCCCGTGTTCGAGATCAATTCTTCGCCCTCAATCAGGGTAAGATGTTGATGCGGGACTATGTTCAAAAGACTCGACACCTCGCTTCGTGCATCACCACGAGCCCCATCGACATGGCTTCACAGGTTCATGTCTTCGTGTTCGGGATGCGAAAAGGTATGACGCGTTATAGTCTCACTCGTGCGGAGCCCGACACCCTGGAGAAGGCGTTCGCCCTCGCACTTCGCGAGGGCTATGTATTGACGTCGTCATACGCCGGCGGCCGACTCGGCAAACGCATCCGAGCCGATGGAAATAGATGTCATCGAGGTATTGACTAACCGACGCACCTCGCATCTGGGCAGATCCCCGTGTCCGATGCCATGCTATCACTGCCAGAAGCTTGGCCACCCGCGGCCGTTTGCCGCGTGCCTGCCCCTGTTGCAGCGAACGCCATGGTCGATGGTGTCGACAATCCGAGACAGGTCGCCCAGTCCAAAAACGGCCTGGGCCATTAGGTACAGGGTGCCCTACTGGCTGGAATTGAGGTCCGAGCCCACCAGCGGCGACCCGACCTCTTAGCCCTCTAGTGCTTCATGCAAACTTCAGCGTCACCACTGCCAGTGACGACGCGAGACTAATCACCCTGAATCGCCACGTCTCTGGCACCCGGCGTCCACTGCATGCGCTCCTGGGATGAAGTGCGACGAACAACGTATTCCGCGCATCGAGTTTGTCGGTGTTGCCCTCGAAGATCTTTGTTATCGACGGTTTGGCGAGGTTGTTGTGAAACTCGTTGAAGGCAAGTTGCACCGTGTCCCGCGGCACGAGGTACAACTCCCGAAAAATTCGACTGCTTCTCCAGTCGAGACGACTTCCTGGTGATCTCGATGAACTACGCCTTCCACTGTATTCTCGGGATGCCGTGGCTCGCGCGGTACCAGCCTGACCTCAACTGGCGGGCGCGGTCGGTCAAACGTCGACACAACTTCGACGTCAGTGAGGTGTTCACCCACCGCCTTGTGTCACCGCGAGATTGGCCACACGTTACCGTCGCAGACCGGTCATCCACGACGCGAACTGCTCACAGAGTGAGCAATGGCCCTCTATGTACGACATGCACAGTATTGTTGTGTGCACCTGCTAGGAACCCCTCGCGTACGCGCGAGGCGAACGAGATTGAGGTCGAGCGTGGGCTCCCATGACCAAACGAGACGACGGTTGAGCATTATTTCCCGTCGATAACCAAGACGACGGTCGGACATGGGTTCTCGTTAGCAACAGATCTAGTGGTCGAGCATGGCTCCCACCACAGCAAGTATCTCCAGTCGAGCATGCGTCGCTCCCGCTTTCCGATGTTGTACGCGTTTGCGCGGCTCACCCACGCGCAGTCGAAGTCGCTAACCCACCGTGCGAAGCCTCTTCAATTTAGCGTCTCCTAGGCTTCTCCTGGAAGAACTTTCTACGTGCCCTTACCCGTGGCTAGGTCGAGCAAGTTTGTCTCATCACCACACGTGACGAGGAGCTTCACCCAGTCAGCGACTCCGAAGAGCTAGCG